CAAGATTGTTTTGATGTGTGTAAGTATGTCCGTTATTAAGGACTAAAAGGTAAAACGTAAAACGTTTACCACATGTTAGGTACATGTCTTATGATTCCCCACCAAATGACATAAGCAGCATAGATGCCAGCCTAAAAGTGACTTGTGCTAGAACTGAGGAGACAATATCAGAACCACTTGAAGTGTTTATTTTTGAGCGGGATCATCAGAGTTTAAAGCTGAGAATATGGTTATCTACCCATCTACCTTGTACTGAGTGTCGGAAAACAGGTTAGGTTAGTTTAATTTTTTTGCATTTATTACTGCTTCATGATCTCACTTCTGTAATCTTAACAGCATTGACAGAGGCGTATTCTCGTAAAATATAAGGCGTAAACCTTGTACACAAATTACAGATTTCATATTGCATACAAAACTACGATAAAGACCTTTGTGTGGCATTAGTATTTGGTTTACATTATTATTTAGTTCAATCGAAGTTTTATATATTTTTAGCAAAAATGAAGATGATCATGTGGCGACATCTACATGCAATGACAGAAACATTTTATTTTAGATATAAGTTTTTTAAGCTTAACTTATTTTGTTTTGTCCCTTCATTTAGCATTTATTCTTTTAGTGCTATATTTGTTAAACCTGTCATTGAAGGAAGGCGCCGTTATTATTTTTTGATTTTGTATCATTTATCTGTACCGCTGTGTGTTGTCTTAATGCAAAAAACGTAAGTATCATCTAAAAGAGCCACTTTTCATATCTTGATAATATTAATTTCATTATTTAGTCTCGATCCTCGATTTTGTAGTATACTACTTTTAAAGTTATATGAACATAAATATTTAGATTGAGGAGCCACATCAGAACTAGAAACATAATGGATGTATATTTATTATAATTTAGTACGATTTTGTAGTATTTGAGAGTAGTTAGTAGACAAAATCTGAGCTCGGTAATGTTAAAATTAAAAAAGTTACCTAGTACACTAGTTACATTATATGTGTGGCTCCTCAGATCATACATACGACTATTGTTAAGGTCTCGGTGTTAGATGATAAATAAGAGTGGACTGTATGTTGCGCTGGTTTTTAATGTTCACAAGGGGTACGTTGAAGGAGCAGTGATCCCGTTCGAGTATATAAAGCGAGTCGGAGTCCATAATAACTTGGTGGGAGCCGTTGCGTCCGCGCCCCCGCTTCTCGCTGCCTCCCCGTCACCCGCGCCGCACGCCGTTTGCTAGCGATTCAGCCGCTTGTAAGCACCGGCAAACCGTGATGTCGAGGATCGAGGTTTGATTCTCGACAACTATCATTTTTCAAAGAAGCAGTAGTTTTATTGATGCGCAATTTCTTCATCATTTAGTAGTAAGTATATTAAATTTGTAGTGTAAAGAGTCAGTTATTAAAAATGAGTGAATTGGGAGATATGGCACACTTTAAGTGGCTCCTCAGTTAAGATGCTTCGGTAAATAAATTTGACTCTAATATACTTCTACTTGTGACGAAATTTGGAACATAAAACATCTATATTTTGTATAAATTTATACTAAATGTACGTATAATCCATCATACGCCAGGCCACTGAGGTTCGCAGCGGGTGGTATGTCGAAATCGAACTGACTAATACCACACGGTGTGCCGGGATCTGCTGTTATTAAACCATTTATTTAAATGTGCATTTGTTTTTGTGTCCTTGATGTTATTATGATTTAAGTTGTTATTTGAAAATGATTGTTGGTGTATGTATTATCATCTCTGGTTTCTTTCTGTGAAATGCTGTATTACTTGTAATTTATGAGACTCTGTACCTGCAATAAAAATAATACTATTATTAAGACATCCGAACCAGCCTTCCCTTCGCCCGATCCAGCCTCCGCACATCCCCTGTGGTCCCACATTGTGCTGACTTCTGATGACCCGTTGGGCCGCGGTACGCCAGGCATGATCACCTCGCCTGGTCCGAGGAACCTCCATTTGTGCGAAAGGGACAGTAAGGCCCGTTCCTCAATAATCATAACATACAGGCAAATTTTTGTAATGGTCCCAATGAAACTGTTTATTCGTAGCATGTACAATAAATAAATTCAAAATTTATCTGGTATTAAAGCTGACACCGCTGAAAACATGAACACTAAAGTCTCCCTTTCGCAATTTCCCCCGACATTTAATATTTTTAGGTTCGATCTGGTGAACTTCAGACTCGTCATTTTAGCAACAGGGTAACTATGAGAGAGAATTTTGAAAACCAATTTTTGTGCCATATCACTTACGATAATAGGAAACTCGAAGAATTCGAATTATTCGCACTATTTAAATGAATTGTTATTAGTTTATGTAATATAACAACACTTCCAGACATGGATTATATGACAATAATTATTAAATTTGGAAAATAAAAGAGATAGTTGTCTGTCTACAGAAGAGAAAAAAGATTCTTCTAAAAACATTTACTAACTTAACTTTATAATTCTAATTATATTTTCTACTAAGTACCTACTACTACGATTCTAATCTATCCTACAGTTGAGTAGTAGTTACATTATACATAAAAGCATGTAATCAGTTAACCACACATAAAAGTATAGTGGTATTATCACATCCGTCAATTAAGCTGACGCTTGGATGAAATCTGTGGGTTTCCGTAGTGAACTGAATGGCCTTCTAACTCACAGTGTTGCTTTAGATGTTACGTTACCACCTCTTGACACTTTCACCGTAATACATAGTGCTTTCTATACGGATGTCTTGTACATTAGAGTGGAGGAATACATGAAAAAGTAAACAGTTTACACATCCTTCATAGTTTATTTACAAAACAATATTATTTTTAAGTATAAAAATATAAATAAGATTATTTGAGCATTATTTACACGATACTTCTAAAATACTACTCCATGTTACATGTGACACCAATCTAAAAATCTTAATTAATAGTGATAGAAAAAGTGTACTTTACAATAAATTGTGTTTTATCACTTCCATTCTAAGTAATACTGGGAATGCCTCGCACAATTACAAAATTAAAATTTACAGAAGTAAAAGACCTTTAATATTAAAATACTGAGATTTGAACCTTGAGTATGTAAAGCATTCGTTGATAGGAATAATGACAAAACATATACAGAATTATCCGTTCAATCGTTAGTAGGTAATATTGATTCCATAAATCATTTGAAGACTTCTGTCACAAAAAAAGTAGAAATCGGCTTCAAAATGTTTTAGTTTTGTCACAGATGTAAATTACAAAGAAAAAAACAATCTTCACGTAAAAAAAAAATAACATATGTTTATACAAATGCACGGATTATACGGCTGTGTATTTGTATTATCAATCTAAATTATTGGTCTATTTTGGAGTCCACTATTGAACATAGGCCTCTTCCGCTTTTAGTGCATTCTTGCAGCCTTCTTCAGGTGGTTAGCCCGTCTGTATCATCATCAAACTTCTGCACGTATATTTTTAAATTGTTTTTTATTTTAGTTACTTTATAAATCTGAATTACTTTTAGTCTCTTAAAGTTAGTTCAAATTTCCGTAAACTTCATTCGGTGACGTCAGGAATCTGTTTTAAACCTTTTGGAACAATTATATTACGGAATCTTTTAAATTTCTTCTAAAAACATTTTATTAAGTTTGTGTCTGTAATAACAAATTAAATCTTTTGACGTAATCAGTTTAATAAGTAATCACTGCATTATTTAGACATAAACATGTCATAACTTCAATGAAATAATATTTAAAATAATTAACGACAATTGTGCAAGACTCGTGACGAATAACGTAAGAGCAGAGTTTCTGTTTTAGTGTTTTTTAATAAATATCGTTTTTATATTTTCTCAATATCAGCTTTTACACAGTAACTCTTAATATATCCCCTCCTTATAGGCACTTAGTATACATAAGGTATAAATGATTGCGACCGCATCTAAGAAGCATATCAAAGCGTACATTAACTGTTACAAATTTAATTCATTAAATTCTTTCACCATTTTTTTTCTCACTACTTTATAATTTCTAACATTATTTGGTATATTTTATTCTGCTTCCAGCGACACTTTTGTTACCAAGTATTTTGTTGAACTAATTTATTATATCGTAATAGACTTCGCTTTTTAAAGAACAGTCTTCAAAACCAATTTGCAACATACCTACTTCATTGGAAATTTAACAAACCAAGAAAATAATTAAAAATTAAGGTACAATAGCAATTTAAGGACTTATCACCGATTAATAAATAAATAAATTAGTGGTTGTAATGCTGCAACTCTTCGGTGTTGAACAAATTGTGCTCGATGGGAACCTCTGAAAAAACAAACAAAAGCTTTAATTTTCTTTTAAAAGCGCACTTTAGAATTAAAGTACATTGCAGAATAACACTGTCATACAAAATCTGATATTTTTTTGCACATTTAATTGAATTATATGAATAATAAAAAATAACAACTAAATGACATATTATGATGAAAATTAATAACGTCTGAATGTACATACTACTTCATTGTGGGAAGAATGAAAAGTTAAGATGGAGTTATTTGTTATAAGAAGAAAAAAGAAAAAGTGGTGACTTTTCTAAATGCTAAATTACTTATTCTACATCTATAATAGATTATGCATGTTTTTGATGATAACTCATATAATATACGTGCTTATAATGTCTGTCAATCATGATTGTTTGAAAGAATTAGCCTAGATTCCTCTAGAATGTAAATTTAAAGTAAAACTATACATTTTAAAAGAGTCAATTATTTTAAATATTGGTTAAATCATACTTTTGACAAACATTAATTTGTGTGATAAGCTATTTTGCGAATATAATGTCGTCGTAATAAGTGATGTAATAATTAAATTAGTCTTGTAGTCTCTTCAATGATGTTAACTGTCTACAGAAGTCTTCCTATAATCATAAGGGAAAAAGATAAAGAGTTTCATAGAATAGAATAGTCTCAGAAGAACAGTTATCAGTGTCGTCAGTCATAGTCACATACCTTTAGTCAGTCATGTCATTAATCAGACTTGAACGATCTTGTTTCCTCGTAGATAGTATTTGACGTCTTTTCTTCTGTTCTGTGCGTTTTCTGTGGTTGTCTTTGGTTTTTCAGTGGTGGTTGTAGTGGTGGAAATAGATGTGGTTGTGGAAGTAGATGTGGTTGTGGAAGTAGATGTGGTTGTGGTTAAGATATCAAGGACTTCGGCTGGGAGTACTCCAATTTCATTGTCAGAAACAACAGGGGTAGGTAGATAAGGAATTTGCCCATTTTGCAGCATTTTTTTGTAAGTCTCTAAGTCAGTGAGTTTGAAATCTTCAGATGACCTTTGTTGTTGATTTATATAAGCATTAAGTTTTTTTATATTAGCTTGGATTTTTTGAATTTTTTCAGGTGTCAAGCCTTGTTTGTGTTTGGTAGGTATTACTGTTCGTTTTGAAGCTGTGTATTCGTAAGGTGGAAAAGGAGGTGATGGATTTCGTGGATCGTAATCGACGTAAGAGTCTACTGCAGCTGGTTGACCGTAAGAATTGACAGTGCCCCAAGTCATTGGTTTGAATTCTGGGATGGATTGAGGTAGAGGTGGTGGCTGATATGACAAATCATCAAGTGCCGGAGCAGTGTACGAAAGAGCAGGAGCACCGTAGGAGCTATCCGGGACACTATATAAGGAAGCAGGAGCTGGAGCAGTGGGTGAAGAGGCCGTAGAAAATGCACTCTTGATAGCACTATAGACAGTGTTCAGGATTGACGCAGGTGGATCTATAGTGTGGCCTGAGTGTGCTGTGTCCAAAGTCTCTGCCTGCTCACCCAGAGGCGTCAGTATGACTAGTCCTGCGTGTACGCCGTTCAGTTTACCTCGTCCTGTCTCAAAAAGTCTTCGTCTTAGGTGGAGTCTATGTTAGTAGTGATTTTATGATGTGTTATTAATAATTGTTATTTCTAGTTACTTAAGTATAAAGGCTGACTTTTTGAAACTTTGATCTTAAAAATTTATTATTTATTGGAATAATCCTATTAGAAAAGTGTATTTCTAATAGAACTTAATTTATTAGGACTATGGTCGTAATTCAAGAACCTAAACATTACACAAATAAACATTTTTTAGGTTTTATAATATATTATAATCTATTGGCAACACTTAAAAAATAAACTTAAGCTTTAAGGGTGTTTGGCAATAACTCGCAACAAAAACATACATTCGTTAATGTTAAAAGACATTCTAAGATCAAAATGTCAAAAACGCAGTCTTCATGGTTTTCTGTGTGTACTATTTTACTTAAAGCTATGCTTATCTATGTTTACGATCGGTTATAGGAACGTTTTTATGCTACACTACTCTATAAAGGAGTTACCACGATTTTGTATTGAATAAATGCGGATCAGCTGTAGAAGGTCTGAACTCGGAGTGTCCTAAAATAGATGTTTATTATTGGTAAATTTATGATTTACGGTGTATAATTGGTAATGTAGTCAAATTTATAGTTTCTAGGGTTGTAGATACCCCGGGGCACCAGGGACGTCGGGGCACCAGGGACTTCCTTTCTAGGGTATACCTGGTTCCCCGGCTATTAGTACCCGAGACGGCGTGCGGTTTTAGTCGGTTCGAGTCCGACATGCCACCGACAGGTGGTCTCCGAGGGGATTTCCGCACGAAAAAAAAAAAGGAGTTGTAGATACCACAGCGAGAAGCATTACGCGGCGAAACAATATAAACATACAACATGTTCCGCGTGGTGAAATAAATTAAAAACCGAAGTGACCGAATAAAAATGAATTCAGGAGGCACTATACATTTAACTATTCACTTAATAGTTCAATCGCTTTTTCCAGACTTTATACATTAAAATCAATCTACATTCACTAGAACAAAAGAATTCATTATAATTATTGGCTTAAAATAATTAATTAATGGTGAAAATGACACAACACATATATATTCTCACAAAAATAGAAAAGTTTGATGGCAATGATTCGCCGAAATAGAAAACAAAATAAGTCTTATTAAACATTTGGCTGAATAATATTTAACGATTCGTTTTCACCACATCTCGAAAGTAGAGGAAATTTCAAGAACTTCTCAAAGTAAGAGATTATTATAAATAACAGTGGCACTCCGGGATTGCCGACAGAATTGAAAACTTGAAATTCTTTAATTATATCTATGTTGTACGCATATACACAATATGTTTATATAATTAACTAGCTGACCCGGCAAACGTTGCTTTGCCTAAAAAAAAAATTTAGGGATGGGTCACCCTTACCATTTAGGGGTATGAAAAATTGATGTTTGACGATTCATAGACCTACCCGATGTGCACACAAAATTTCATGAGAATCGGTAAAGCCGTTTCGGAGGAGTACGGGAACGAATATTGTGACACGAGAATTTTATATATAAGATGTATTTTAACCAAAACTTAACTCTCGTGTAAATGGGGCCAATAATTATGTAGAAACTTATATACAGAGGTGTCGGTAACGGTTTTGCCATTCTCAAAAAAATACATTCTTTTGTTTGTTGTTCAAAAATACCAAACGCGCCTAATCACGTTTTCACTTCAAAAATTACCCCGTACTTGGGATATTAAACAGTAGAAATAGTAAAATTTCGAACCAATAAAATAATTTCATTTATTGGCATTCCCAAATTCATTCACACATAGAGAGCTGCCGCCATTACGGTGCCTCAGGTTTGTCTTAGCGGGAGTTCCGTCCGACTTTTTTAAACGTCCATTTATACATATACTATTAAAATACATATTTTAAATTTGTTTAAATTTTTCACTATACCTCAAAGTTAGGGTGGTAGAAGGTAGGTGTTCACGCCGTGTCTTAATGGTGGTGCGGCGGAAGGAGTTTAAACCGGTTACTCGCTGGTTATGCGATCGCCCCACCTTCTCCTCTACGCGCCGACATTCGACGACTTATTTTGCCTATGTATACACCTCTTACATTATGTACTAAATATTATATACATTTCGAATATTGTAAGTTTCGCTAATTATAATACAACTGAATGCTTGGAGCGTCTGTGTTTCAATTGGCCAACCCAAGACACCAGTATTCATCATATGGTGACCCCGACGTGATAAACCGAATTACGAGGAGAACAAAAGGACCCGTACAACAGCTTCCAGCCAACTCTCGCTTCAAGCCAGCCGGTCAGCCCACAGCGCCGCAGCCAAGGTTTAGCCAGGGAAGTGTACCAATTAATCCTTTTATTCTAACATCCTATTATACCCACTTCTATTCGATTGTGTGATTTTGCCAACTTCTATGCCTTTTCATGCTTAAATCTCGCGATCTGGTTGGAAACTTATATTTTATTCTAGCTATATAGCTTACATATAATAGTTAATGAAATAGCTTCCCTTTACTTGCGCATCAGTGTGCAAATTATTTTATATCTAACAAAAATTATTCTACTGATATAGCTTACACATAATACCTATTCAATCAAATAGCTTCTCGTGATTCAGCATCAGAGTATAAATTATTTCATATCTTACAAAAATAGTTACGAGTAAATAAGTGCGGGGTAGGTAGGTGCCTGCAGCCGTTATCTATAGCTGCGCGCACACCAGTAAAACGCTGTGTACCTCATTATTTATATTGTATAAGCTTTTTAGTGAAATTCAAGCATTTGTGCCATTTTAATTGCTTTAATACTTTACTTTTTCATTTTTTCTAACAATGCCTGACACAACACTACCTCCACTATCTGCGCTTATCACCACAAGAAGCTCGATTAAAGGTCAGATAACTAAATTTAGAAATTATCTTGATAGATTAATTAAATTCGAGACTATTCCGTCTGAAGAAAAGACAGAACTGGCATTGAGGGTTGAACGGTTCCGGTTACTTTTTGAAAAGTTTGACGAACTACAAACGCAAATTGAAATTTCGTCTTCAACCTCAATGCAAGTTGAAATAGATTCTCGAGAGGAGATAGAAAACGATTTTTTTACATTAATAGCAAGCGCTCAAAGGATAATGAATGCATCGAACGATAAATCGGATGTTGATGTTGCGCAAGCGCAGTGCAGTTACCGCGGTACCGGCGGTGAGGTAAATTTTAGATTACCCTTAATTAAAATTGCAAATTTTGACGGTACCTTTTCCAAGTGGCTCGAATTTAGAGATACCTTCAACTCTCTGATTCACGGCAATGACCACATAAAATCTATACATAAGTTTCACTATTTAAATTCCTATTTGGAGGGGGAAGCATCTCAAGTAATTAGTAATTTAGAGGTTACAGAGTCTAATTATACTGAGGCTTGGCAGCTCCTTTGCGATAGGTATGACAACAAAAGGCAATTGATTAATAATCATCTCAATTCCCTGTTTAATATTCAACCTATAGGTCGCGAATCAACCAAGGGATTGAGGTATTTAGTTGATCACGTGTCTAAAAACTTACGAGCTCTAAACACACTGGGTCAACCCACTGATAAGTGGGACACATTAATTATACACATGGTCTCAGCAAAGCTCGACAGTAATACTAACTTTAAATGGGAAGAACATAGGAACTCGCTTGATGATATGCCATCACTTTTTGATTTTCATAAATTTTTGAAGTGTCGCGCCGACATTCTGGAGTCGGTCCAGCGAAACAAATCTGAACGAGCTACATCGCAGCCCAAACGAGACTTAATAAATTTACACAAGTTACCAGTGAAATCTTTGCAAATTTCAGTCCCTTCTGGCGCTTCATCTATTGCTTCTGCTTCTTGTGTTGTCTGCAACGGCCAGCACCGCATCTACGACTGCTCCTCGTTCCTGCTCAAGTCCATTGAAGATAGGATTAAAGAGGCGGTAAATTTAAAACTTTGTCTCAATTGTTTACGCAAGGGTCATTCTTCTCACCGTTGTAGGTTGGGCCCCTGCTCCAAATGCAGAAAGCGTCATAATACCTTGCTACATAGGGAAGTCTCTCAGGCTGACAATACTCTTGTGAGCCCGCCAGCGCAGCCCGACACTCAGGTCACGACTGGTGTGGCTACAGCTCACAACAATCAGGTTTTGCTATCTACGGCACTCATTGATGTTTATAACCCTGTAACCAACGCTTATCGAACCGTTAGATGTCTTTTGGACAGCGGGAGTCAAACTTCTATAATCACTTCCAGCTTGAAACAACAGCTAAAGTTGACTCCTCAGCTTACTAATACAAGCGTAGTAGGTGTAGGTAATATTACTATGTCATCTGTGCCCGAGCGTTGTAATATAATAATAAAATCCAAATATAACAAGAAAGTCAATTTAAATACATCGTGTTTAGTTTTACCCACTATTTCTAGTAATATACCTCACAAATACTTTAATATTTCTCACTTTAAACTCCCGTCTAACATTAAACTCGCAGATCCTAATTTTAATAAACCAGCACCTATCGATATTTTAGTAGGTGCCGATCTATTTTGGTATTTAATAGGGTCCGAGCAAATAAAATTAGGCAAGTGCTTACCTATCATACGTAAGTCTAAGTTAGGTTGGATATTGGCAGGGCCTATGTATGATAGAACTTCATTAAAACAACCATTAACTCATTGCAATTATATTTCCACAAGTGACAATTTAGATAAACAATTAACGAAGTTTTGGCAGCTGGAGCAGATCCCTCAGCCTACTGCCCAGCACACCGACGTCGAAGCCGAATGTGAACAACACTTTGTCGAGCACACATACCGCAACAAAGACGGTCGGTTTTGTGTGCGACTTCCATTAATCACCGAGCCCGATTGCTTAGGTGATTCATATCGACTAGCTAAAAAACGGTTTATCGGATTAGAAAGGCGATTTAAAAACAATCCAGATCTGAAAACATCCTATCAACAATTTATTTCAGAATACGC